TAGCTGTTTTAGTGCTAGAGAGTATAGGACCTCTGGTAATGCCTGGGTTTTCATTTCATACAAATTGTCGGTCTCCTATTAATTACCAAAGCATCTTTGCTCCAGGTGAGTAAAGTATTAACATTTCCAGCTCCTAGGATTTGTGACAGCAACTGAAATTTGCAGAATGTACTCAACATTAACAAAGCCTAATGAAAAATCAGTTGAGGATCATCCATCTATCCTCAAGCATAATTGTGATACTTCCCTTGTGCTTCTCTTTTTCTTGGACGTGATGCTGATAAATCTCAGATCGCTAATATCACTTGAATTGGCACTAATCATTCTAGAGGGAATATAGTTTCCTTTAATCATCCATGGGACCAGGCGAGGGATATGCTGGTCTTATTAGCTGCTGAAGTTACAGCTGGTGCTGTTTGAGCTTCTGACCCCTGCCACCCCCAACTGAGTCATCAAATGAGGCTAAGGAAAGAATTTTCTCCTAAACCCGCCTAATTCTACTCCAGTCTTTCACTCTACTCTTTCCCACCCTCTTCAGAAAAAAGCACTGGGGAACTTGCCCTTGCTCCCAGCTCAGTCCAAGTTTTCAAGTACACAAGCAAGCGCAGGGCTCTCTGCATACATGGTTAAGTGACCTGCGAGGTCTGATGCCTGACATGTGAATAAACTGTGCCAGCATCCTGCCCATTTTGGTCTCGAGCAGATGTCACTGTGAGCTGTGGCCATGTCCTAAGTGCCCAAGTCTCTTAGGATGGTTACCACCTAGCAAGGCTTTAAGGAGAAAGTGTCAGCAATAAGCTTGAAGTCTGTAACACTTGGGTGGCTTATTTCCTTTCCTAACATTTCCTTCTTCTCTCTTCCCTTTTTTCTTTTCCAGCTGATTTCCATTGATGAATTGGATAATGCTGAGGTCCTAACTTTGTTGTTTTTTGTTTCTCGTGTCTCATGGTGGTGTTTCTGTGACATCCTCCCAGTTAGCCCTGTGATCCTTCCTCCAGTCCCACGGCGTGGAGTGTCTGGCTTTGTGTGGTGTGCCCTCTGGGAGTGAGTGGAGTCTGTCGTGTCTGTGTTAGCATTTCCCATGAGTTTGTTTGCCGTTAGTCCTTGGAGATCTCATCTGAGTCTCGATAAAGTTGTTCTAAATTGCAATAAGATTTTAATTGTTCACTGTCTAAAATCTCAACTGAATTTGTGGTTGATGCTGGCCAATACCCTGTCTCTGAAAGTCAGTTTTGAAATTGGCTTAAAGAACTTCTCTATCTGTAAGTAAAGCATCTGATGCAAAAAGATACAGCAGCATTGATATAATTTGAAAGTAGTAAAAAAGGAAAACTCATTACTCTCTTGGTCTATGTATTGAAAAGTATTGAATATGAGAGTTCATATAAAAAAATTTTTTAAGTGCAGGGTGAATTCCTACGTGCTAGTTGAGACTTTCCATCCACAGGCTAGGTTAGGAATGCACTGTATCCGTGGCTTCTTCTAGGAAAACTACCTATAGATCCAGAAATCGAATGTCATCCTGTGGCTTTGGTACTTACGTATCAAGCTAGTTTCACTTACCCAGAGTTACCCTGGAGACTGACTAGTAGTCATTTTGTTTGGGATTTGGGGGCCTCTTGAATATTTTCTGTTTTGTACATTTTTTCAATATTCCTTGCTTTATTTTTAGGTTGTGCTATATGCTAAGTAAATGCTATCAGATAAATTTAATTTGGGGAATTCACATACGCAATTGAGAGGGTTTCATTGGTTGGCAAATCAAGCAAACTGAACTAAGACTTAATTTGTCTTTTGAAAGTCACTTCTCTGATCTGCTTCAGATCTGTTTCTCCTTTCAGTAGACCAGCTAATGCCTTTAGATGAGACAGAGCTGCCAGATAGAGCATGCTGTCTACTCTAATATCTACTCTAATTAATACACTGTCATTTCAGGAATACTAAGAAATGGCTCAGATATCCCTAAGGAGGGTTTGAATTACAGGCTTGAAACAGAAAGCAGCACGAGTGCTTATGTTGAATTTGGCACAGTTGCCTCAGGGATGGAGCTCAGAGAGGCTAAGTGCCTGGTCCTAGCTCACACAGCTAGACAGTGGCTAAATCAGGACAAACACATGGCTGGCTTTCCTGGTGTGCTTACTGTTCTACCACAGTAAATTCCATAAGCGCAGATTTTTCCTTGTATTAATTAGACAGGAACAGGTGAGGGGACCATTCCTTCTGGGAAGACTAGAAGGTGAGAAAAACAAAAGGGAGTGTACCAACTTAATTAACTGCTGTAACCTCAGGGAATTTTGCCATTTCCTGTTTAGCATTCCTTCTTCCGGGTTATTTGTATGCCAGAAAAATCACTTCTATGCTGAATTTGATGTTGGCACCCTTTAAGACTCTTGTTTCTACATAGAGTTTTAAATGCCTCGCTGATTTAAATTTTTCCTCTAAAATATTGAGGTTGAGTTACTATTTGCTTAAGTACAAATTAAGTCGGGAAAGGAAAACTTTCCCTAATCAGAGTCTGTGGTGTTATTAATACACTGTTTTGCACCATAGTAATCAGTTGATGTGTTTGCTTGCTCAAGATAGAACTTGGGTCTCCTGGCTGGGAGTTTATTGCTCGCTTATGGAAAGATTCCACAGTTGGAGCAGGTGTGTTTATAATTATACTCTAGGAAATAGAATACTGTCTGTTTATAAAAGAGGAATGTTCTGGCAGCCACTCAGATTCTTTGAAAATTCCCTGAAGAAGCAACTGTGGATCCCCTCCACGTTGTTCCCCTGGCAACCGTCAGCGCTGGGACACCGACACCCTGTCTCCAGCCCCTCAGGCTGGTGGATCTAGCCCTCTCTGCAGAGGTGCCTCCTGGGCCTTTATCATTGATGCTGTTCTGGAAGCTACCACAGCTCCTGTGGTTTCTCCCCCACCAAGCCTTTTGCTGGCCTGCACTCCTGGAAACCTGTGGCCCACAGCTGGAGCTCTACAGAAGCTTGATGAGAATCCATGCTGGTCCAGGATTAGGGCAGGGCTGCACATCTGAACTGCACACCAACGTTCCAAAGTCTAAATGTGATGGGGAGTAGCCCCAGGGCTGTGTAGGGCCCCCAGGGGCCCATGACCCCAGTTGAGGAAGGGTCACCACGCTTTGATCATAAAGGCCACTTGAGCATCTCTAGAGATGGGCAATTCATGACTTGAAAAAAAGCACAACGCCTACTGAGTCCCTGTCAGTGCTCTGAGAAAACAGGGTGAAAAGAGAACAGAGGTGTAGATTTCCGGCAAGAAAGTACATGGTATGGGGTCTTCCCCACTGCTTTCTAGAATGAAATTGTGTTCGAAACCAGGGAGAGGAGGGGTTGTTTGTTTTTTGGCAAACAAATAGGCAGAGTCTCCATCTTTACCCCCTGATTTTTCTTTTTCCCATGGGGCTGGGGTTGGGGGACAGATGGGGCGGGGGACAGATGGGGCGGAGGGGAGAGGGAAACTCCCTGTGTTGCTGTCCCTTCCGCTCAGAGCTGGGTGAATTATTACACATGTTTACACCTCTGTAGCTACCACAGAATGTTTCCATCACCCCAGAAAGTTCCCTCCTCTAGCCATTCTTGGCTTGAAACAGATACCAGCTGGTGCTAACGACATTCATTTATCTGACTCATATTTGAGTGCCTGTTACGTCCAGGGGGATTTGGATACAGTGGTACCCCAAATGGGCACAGGGTCTGCCATTCTGGAGCTTACAGTTTTGTGGGGGCAAACGGACAATAATACAAATTCATGCAAGATGACAGCTCTCAACCATGCGACATGTTAGAAGGGAGGAGTGCATGGAATCTGGGGACTTATACCTAAGCAGAGAGGCCAGGTAGCAGCGTAGATCAGGTTACGACAGGTGAATGGCCCCAAGAGGTAATCATGTGAGTTACTTTCCTAAGCTGTACAGTGCTGCGCTAATCAAAGGGATAGTTCTGGTGAGGTACTTCCACTTGAGACAGAGGTGGTGAGCAGAACGGTAGTCCACCCAGTTTTCATACATGTGTCTGTGAAAAGGAGTGGTGTGTTTAGAAAGTGTGTACTGTAGTTCAGTGGACGTGTCTGTTCCTACATATTTGAGATGTGATTCCCATTGAATCACTGCCTCTTTGGAACTGTGGAATCTCTGGAGCCATTGGTGTCAGCTAGCAACTTTGCCCTCCTGCATTGCAACAAAAAAGCTAAACTCACATTCCACCTACTCAGGGTGGCTGCAGCCTGCTTATGTTAACTCTTCAACTTCTCCTACCTTGAGCTGCTTCTGCAGGCAAAAGATGCCATTGACAGGGAACTTTGTAAAATTCAGGAGGGATAAAAAAGGAGAAACGTAAGAGTGATTAAATTTCACCTTCAGGGGGCGTTCTCATGACGCCCAACCCATGGTGGAGGTGTCCTACTTTTTTGCATTGCTGTGAACTGCTGCGTTGGGTACCTGCCAGCATTCAGGCAGCAGTTACATAAGAGCTGCTTTTTTTCCTGGAATTTAGGCTCACTGCTGATGTGTGACCTTCAGCAGTAATTGCCAATAAATGCAGTGGGGTTGTTTACTGTTAGACACTGGCAACCACAAAGCAAACTCATCTCAGAACATACAGAAGCTATTATAGAGTCAGTGGAGAGCTTTTAAAACATATATATGTACCTCACTGCGATTATTCCATAATGACTGAAGTTGTAGAATTTAGTCATGTCAGAAAGTGTTTTTAAAAAATGAACTTTGCTATTGAGTTCTGATGAGCTTGTTCTATAAAATATAGGTGAAACCGCATTGTTGGAGCTAAATAATTTTTGCTTAGTTCTGTTTCTAAAAACAACTACAGTTGGTAAAGTTGCCTCAGCAGATAGGAAGATTTAAGATTGTTCTACTGAAATGCTAGATAACTTCTATTTTAGCTCACTTTTCTTTAAAGCTTTCTGTTTTCTTGGTCTGGGTTTTCAGAGGCTGATGCAGGACCAGGCCTAGCACGTGCATTTGCTAGCCCATTCACTGTTTGTTGTTGGTCTCCTCTGAGGTTGTGAGTGAGTAGAAAGGAACTCTTTAAGACGGCTTTGAGGGGCTGGAGATACAAATTCTCTTTGATTTGCTGATAACTAGATCTATAATACAGTTACATTTTTTTTGAATTGCATTCACTTTCTACCAGCGTAATCCATAGAAAGAGACATCCCATTTCAAAGGAAAATTCTAGAAGCCCAGGGGTAAGGGGGGGATTCCTGCTGAGGGCAGTAGAAAACAAAGTATTTACCCAGGCCGTGCTTTGTGCTGGTCTGTGATAGGCACACATGAAGTGGATGGATGGATGTGGGTGGGTCCTGTTGGGCAAACACCAGAAATAGTCACCTTAGGAAGTCTGTGTGCTCCTTTATATTTAAGAATGATGATTTCCTACATTTTTAGTAGAAATTCGTCCCTTGACAAAATGCTAGGTACATTATGTGTTGCAAGTGAGTAGATCAGTGTCTTATATGCACACACTCAGTTACTACCCAAGGTACCATACTGAGGGCCTGATTTGTGGCCTCATCCAGGAAGCACACTTCGGGTTCAGTGACTTGAGATGTAATTTAAATTTCTATTTCAAAGCCAGTTATTGGGAGTCATTTTTCTACTAAGTTAGATTTTGCTCACCTTGTCTAAAAACACTGGGAAGAATTAAGATCCCAGAGTAAATATGAAGAGGCAGTAGGGGGCAGTAGTTGGTTTCTGAGTTGAAAACCAGGCCACATCAGATCACTGTGAATCACCTGTTGGTGTGTGAGACTGGCCTTGACTGGAGGTGCCAGCACCTGAATGTGGTGACTGGTCCTGGGACTGAGCAGGAATACAGAACATGGGAAATTCAGACAAGCCCATACCCTCAAAATATTCCCCCTGAATACATGTTCACTGAGGGCTTCACCTTTCATGTAAAAAAAAAATAAGTGATGATAAAACTACAACTCCATTCATTCGTTTACTAAACATTATCTTTTGCTTGGGGTATTATATGTTGTATTTATGTAGATCTTATTTGAACATGCATACCTTATTAATATGCTTATATTTATTGAAATTGCAGCTTATTGCTGTAAAATAACCTTATCCTCATAGCCAAAATCATAATGGGAAACAGTGCTAGATATAGGCTGTTGGTGGTTTTACCAACTTAGATACCATGTATGGCCTGGCCCTTTCCATGCCTGGAAACGTTTTATGTCCCAGTGGGTTGTATTATTTAGGGGACTTGCTTGCTAGATATTGTGAAATGAAGTTTACTGAAAATAAACCAAGGATTATTTAGTATTTTAGCTGGAAGGAATCCTAAAGAATGTTTGCAGCTGGGCATGGTAGCTCACACCTGTAATCCCAGCACTTTGGGAGCCTGAGGTGGGCGGATCACTTAAGGTCAGGAGTTCGAGGTCAGCCTGGCCAACATGGTGAAATCCTGTCTCTACTAAAAATACAAAATTAGCTGGGTATGGTGGTACATGCCTGTAATCCCAGCTACTCAAGAGACTGAGGCAGGAGAATTGCTTGAACCCTGGAGGCGGAGGATACAGTAAGCCGAGATCACGCCACTGCACTCCAGCCTGGGAGGCAGAGCAAGACTCCATGTCAAAAACAGACACAAAAAAGGAATATTTGCTTTGTCCTCCTTGAATAGGTCAGGAGATGTATGCCCAGAGAGGTTCAATGACTGGCTCAGGGTCACACAGAGAGCCAGAGCTAAACCCTGGATGAGCCACAGTCACAGGATGCTCATGCAGTGCTCTGGGGTTTTCCAATCTATTCCATAAAGAGATCGCATTTAAAAATGTTTTTCTGGTTAGACACGATTCTTGAAGCTGCAAAGTGTCCTCTGTTTTCTTAAACGGTTTCATAAAATTTTCAAGGGGAAAAGGACAGTTATTTTAATTTAATTTTTGTTTTAAGAATTAATTAAACTAATTTTAGAACAAGCATGACAGCAGTTTAACAGAGGAAATAGAGTGTCAGTACAATCGTAAAACATAATCCCTGCTGAGTGATTAAGAAATAGATATATACTACCTATGGCTGTTTATTCAAGATGCTTCTCTGAACAAAGAGAGCACAGCCAAGAGAATTCAAACAAATGGCACACCAGTTCCATCTTTGTTTTCTTTGGCTTTTGTTTTGATTGGCAAAGGGGTAAGAGGGTAGCTCTGTGCATTCCTATGATGAATCCATGCCTACAATCCTTTTGTTCTGATCATATTGGATCAGTATAAAGGATGCAGTAGTGGGAGGGTGGCCTGTGCAAACAGTGGAATATATTACTTCTGTCTGTATCTCTGGCTGCTCTAAAATGCATGGGAGATTGCTTTAATTCTGCTTTTTCTCATTTGTTCTTTTTGCACTAAGGGAAGATAGCAAAAATGTTTACATAGTTTAATTCTTTAGCATGCAGAATGTAAGGGTAGAGGTAAAAATGCATTCTTGGATTGTGATATTTCTATCATTTTGAAAATACCTTTACCTGTGCTCTACTTTTACTTTCTTCCACACTCAAATCCTTCCTACCACCAGCACTGTCCCTCCCCACCCCGAGCAGGAGGCTGCATGCTTCAGAGGGAAGTTTTCTCCCTTTGATTGATGGAGTTGGACTCATGCATGAAAGGTCTGCTGTCCAGATTTGAGTGAGCAACCCTTGTTGTCTTTGCTAAAGTAGTTTAATCCCCTGGATCGTTCTTTCATTTTCTCTATTGGGAAATAGAAAAAAGACAGAAATCGTTAGATTACATAATATAGCAGCCCTATATTAAGAGGCTTTTTTTTCCTCTTGGGGATCAAGCTATCAAAGGGGTAGTGTTGAGCTGGACGACGATCCCACCAGATTTCACAGTGTCACTCCTCTCATGCTGTCAACACCAGCCCTGGTCTGCCACCTGACAGCCACCTTCTGGCCCTGAATGAGTATGCTGGAGCTCTGTTAGAGGCCAAGGTCACACAGTTGCAGCGTGAGCCTTGGGTTCGTCCCGTGGCCTCACACTACACCTTGCACCAGTCACGCCGCTGGCCTGTGACTTTGTTCCCAGGATGCCCAGGTGGGGTCTGGCAGTTCCAGCTGATAGCTCTCCTCTGCTCCAGGCACATGTCCTTTCGGAGGGCAGATTCATGGCACTGTCTGCAAATGGAGTGGTGGACTTCTCCAGGCACACCTTTGTGTAGCCCCTGCATGCCCTATCGCTCCTTTCCCCTCACCTGCTTGTCGTTTGGAGGCATCCTTTTGTTGCTCACCCATGGATTGGAAATTATGAAATCAAGCGGGGGAGGCTGCTCTCTGTGTGCCATGGCTGGGACAGGGCCAGGAAACCCAGACCATGAAGCCCGCAAGGGAAGTGCATGGGGTGGGAAACTCATCTCCAAACTAACTGTGAGTGCGGGAGATGCTGCTGCTCCCACAGACGCTGGAGCAGGGAGGCTGCATCCCTCAAGCCCAAGCTGGAGCCTAGGTCTTCTTCCCTGCCACAGGACAGGTATGGAGAGCAGAGAGACACAGGAGAAAGCTTAAACCCACAGGAGACATGTGGCATGTGGCACTTTCCCAGGCCTTGAGCCCCTGCTGTTATCAGTGCCTCTGCTCCCCTGAGAGCCTCCGCGGACAGGCACCCTTTTCTTTCTTTCCCTGTCTCTGTGGACCGAGACACGGATGTGCTGTGGTTCTTTCTTTCACTTGCATTGTTTTAAAGCATAATTCCTTCTTGGTTAGCAGTAGACATTTTTTTTCCTTTCTTATTTGAAATATGTTCCCCCATCTCACAGGCCAATTTTCTCCTCCAGCACAACCACATTCAGTTTGATTTGAAGGTATCTGGTCTCCTTGATTGCTGAAGCCCACTTCAGCCGGTGATCCGGCAGGGTTGCCTCATCTCCCATCCTTCCTCCCGTGTTTTGTCCTTGAGTGTTGGTCTCTGGACTACTCTGTGGCCCACAGGATGCAAGCGCCATGACTAACGTGCTTCGTTTTACTCCCAACTAGCTTCCTCCGGCTCCGGATTCTGAGAACGCCACTGAGGTGTGTTGCCCCCTATATTTGTAGCACCAGTGCCAGCAAATATGGGTGCCTCTCAGTTGTCCTGGTTGGGTGTTTGAATTGTTGTGAGAAAACGTCTGTCCAGGTGGTGGGTGTAGGAGGGAGGTCTCTAGGCTGGCTGGGAACAGATCATTGCTCTCACGGATGTGGCTCTCAGTGTAGAAAGTCCTGAGGAGGTGGATCCAAACTGAGCATCCTCCAGGTGCCAGGATGTGGCTCTTTGAAAGTTCTCACTCAGAACCATCTTAATCGTGAGATGTTTAGTTAAGACGTGAGGATGTTAAGACCTTTCTGCTGTTAATATAAAATTGACTTTGGGTCCTGTGCAGAGATGAGGCAGTTTTGAAGTTATAAATGAATAATAAAAAATATTTATAATTGTAGAAAAAGCTGCTAATAAACTTGTAATTTTACGATGCACTTTTAAAAATGTTTTTATTTTTTGAGACAAAGTCTTGCTGTCACCCAGGCTGAAGCACAGTAGTGCAACCTCGGCTCACTGCAACCTCTGCCTCCTGGGTTCAAACGATTCTCCTGCCTCAGCCTCCCAAGTGGCTGGGATTACAGGCATGTGTGACAATGCTCAGCCAATTTTTGTATTTTTAGTAGGGGCAGAGTTTCACCATGTTGGCCAGCCTGGTCTCAAACACCTGACCTCAGGGGATCTGCCCGCCTCAGCATCTAAAATTGCTGGGGTGACAGGTGTGAGCCTCTGCACCCGGCCTACGATGCAGTTAAGAAAAAAAAAAATCTATCCTTCTTGCTGCTAAGTAAACTCACTACATGAGGGACTAACATTTACTAAGGTGTGTGAGATCATAGAGAAGCTTTCTGGGGAGACATATTTCCAAGTATCAAAATTTAATTTCGGAAACTATTCTAAAATCACAGCAGTTCAGGCTAGAATGAAGTGTACTTCATTTGAAAGAAGTCTATTGAGGGTCTTAAAAATGAAGCATGAACAAATGATCGAATAGCTAAGTTGCCGTGTGGATGCTTTCTAATCATCAGTGTCCTGTATCCTAATCGGAGCTCCTCATTATGTTAACCATTTTGGTTACAAGACTTGTGTACTTGTGGGGTGGGGAGAGCCATGGTCCCATGTCTGTGTCTGCTCAGAGGTGTGTGTCTTCTTGTCCTTACGCATGTGCTGTGCAATGATGCATGTGTGAATCATAAGGACCTGCCTGATTGAGTCTTGCATTACAACCCCTTATGGGTTAATGTCACAGCATATAACATAGAACTTCCTTTTCATGATCTTTGCAATAAATTATGTTGGCCAAAAAGTTATATGTCTGCCCATTTTAAACAGTGCACTAGGGCTGGGGGTATGGGAAAATCATTATGCAGCATCTAGATAATCAAGCATGAGTGTTTGGGGGGGGAAACAGAAAACCAGACCTGTTCTCCGTTTGGGTAACTCTTGTCTATATATGAACTCTCAGTGTATTTTATATGTGACTGATGCTGCAGATGGTAGTGTCTCCTTAGTGTTGTACTTAAAATGGAATTTCTGCATGCTTAGCAGGAGCTTGAACCAAGTCCACCCCTGCGGCAGCTGGAAGACCATAAAAGGGTACGTAGTCTTGAGTCTTGGGTATTGGGAGCTAATGATCAGTGACCATAACACCTTCATCAGCCACACACTGTGATTGACAGACAGTTTTTGTTGTTGATATTGTTAAAGCATTAATTGACTCAATCACAGCCATGTATGTAAATGAAACTAAATAGTGGTTCCACCTATCATCTACCTGATCAGAGCACTGTAACCAGCTGGCCTCCAAATCGCGACCAAGTAAGCTTTTCATGTCCCTTTTTCTTTTCTGTGTGGGCTTTCTACTTAGGTGAAACCTAAAAAAAAATAAAAAAGTTCTGTATTGACTGACGAATAATGGAAAAAAGTTTATAATTATATTACCTAGCCACAAGAGCCACTAATGTTTTTGTTTGTTATTTGGGGTGGTTTTTTTTTAGAGGCAATATCACTCTGTTGCTTATGCTGGAGTGTAGTGGTGCGATCTTGGCTCACCTCAGCCTCAACCTCCTGGGCTCAAGAGATCTTCCTGCCTCAGCCTCCCAAGTAGCTGGGACTATAGGCACCACGCCTGGCAAATTTTCTTTTGTTTTTTATTTTTGAAGAGAGAGTCTTGCTATGGTTCCCAGGTTGGTCTCAAACTCCTGGGCTCAAGCGATCCTCTTGCCTTGGCCTCCCAGAGATCTGGGATTACAGGTGTGTGCCACCATGCCCAGCCCCACTAATGTTTTCTTATTTCCTTCTACCCACGTTTTTATACACATGAGCACGGTGCCAACAGACACAGGCACGTTTGTATTATCATTGGGATTATTCTAAGTATCCAAATTTTGTATCCTGTTTTACATTATATTACTGTATCTGAGTATTTGTTTTGAAAATCTTTGAAAGTTAACAGCTGCCTGAAGTTCTCCAAATTAACAGGTAGTTCATCTTTTTTTTCCGTTGATGAGGAAATGAATGACTGTGTGCATCTTTGAATAAATTCCTAGAAGAGGAATTCCTTGGCCAAGAGGTAGATAATGCTCTTAAGGTGTTGATTGTGCCTTGCCAAAGCATTTCTAGAAGATTGTGTACATCCATGAACATGCTGACAGCACTGATTTTCATGTTGCCCATTTTTGGGAAAATAACCAGATGTCCTGGTGACACAGGCTTCATCCCCATTTCACAAGTAGGAAATTGAGACTCTGGGAAGTTCAACATCTTGTCTAAGGTGATGGAGTTTGAAAATGACCTGTCATTATGAAGACTGTCTTGGAACTGTGGTCATCGGTGTCTTAGAGAATTTTTCTTCTATTTTTGTGGGTACATAGTAGGGGTATGTATTTATGAGGTACACGAGATGTTTCGGCACAGGCACACAATGTGAAATACAACACATGGAGAATGGGGTATCCATCCTCTCGAGTATTTATCCTTTGAGTTCCAATCCGAGTACATTTTTTATGTTACTTTAAAATGTATAATTAAGTTATTGTTGATTATATTCACCCTATTGTGCTATGAAATAGCAGGTCTTATTCATTCTTTCTAACTATTTTTGGTACCCATTAACCATCTCCACCTGCCCCGTGTCTTGGAGAATTGATGCCTGAGATAAATGGGTAGCCCCATGCACCTTTACTCTGCTCATGCCCAGGCCCCTGCCCAGTCTCACCGCATCCCAAATCCCTTTTGTTTTCTTGCTCTGATAGAGGCATAAACTTTGTGATTTCTCTAGGACCAGAGAATAGCTCCAGGAAATTGGCAATACAGCAGAATTCAGGACGTGATGCTAGAGCGTTCTCCAGTCTCCTTTATCTCCTGCATTTCATGGCTCAAGGCACCTTGCATTCTTATATTTTCCATCCTTGCCTGCCCTTTAGAATTATCTCAGGTCTTAGGAGTAGCTGGCAAAGGCACACAGCTGTCCCTCATGTCCTAAGCTCTCAAGGGACTTGGTAATGAATGCTGCCAATGCCCCTGAACTTTGTGATTTGAAACAGGTTCAAGTTTGCATTTTTTGTTTTGTTTTGTTTTGGTTTTTGCCAGGTACTTGCTGTGGTGATTTTGAGCAAATTAACCTCCTTGTGCCTCAGTTTGTTCTGCTGTAAAATGGAGGTGACAACAGTCCTTATACCTTAGGACACTGAGCTGTGCACATGAAGTACTTTGCACAGTGGCTGGAATATGATAAGGGATATTAACTTGTAGTTACCTTGCGGATTGAAATATTGAGGTGGTTTTGTAGACATGAGTAGAAGGAAGATATTTTAAAATCTAGGCTCTGCCCTCATGCTGACTAAGGTGTGAGAGGCTCACAGCTCACATGAGACGGTGACCGTGCCTGAAGCACATGGTTTTAAGTGGCTGGAACCTGGGAAACTGAAAGGTCAGTTCTCTCTCCTTTGTGTGTGGCCATGTTAACTCCTTAGTGTCTTGTTCATCGCTGGTTCTCTTCCCACACAGTCCATTTGCTATTTAGTTCAGTTGATATAAGTGAAACTCATGTTGATAGAGTGACCAGGGAGGAGCTTGGTTTCATTACTCCACATCACTATTCTACCAATTTTCATTGTTTTAACGTGACACTTATTACAAATGACTTTTTCTTTTCTCAGTCTTAGGTAATAATGTGTGTGGAATTTCTGACTGAGACAAACATCTGATATTTGTTTGCATACTGTAGGTGTAAACTGCTGGAAAAAAACTGGTATTATTTTTAAAAAGGGTTGCACAGCCAAATGTTAAAGCTGAAGAAGTGACGTTATTTGGGAAGTCATTTTTTTTTTTTTCCTTCTCTGCAATCAGATTCCTCAGCCTGGTACATTGTGAACAGCTTAGTGCTGTTAAGTAATTTATATCAAGATGATTAGGAAAGCTTTTCTCTGCAGATTTTAATTTTTCTTAAATTAAACCACTGGCTCAGAAAAACAGAATTTTCCTTGAACCCAAGTTTTCACACTAGGAATTTGCATAACTTTTGATAATTCTTATCCATTTTCTCTTTCTGTCCCTTCTTACCTATAATTCTCAATCTTCATTCTTTCAAAAAAGAAATGAATCTCGTCTGGTTTGTTTTTTTTTTAACTTGCTGTCTGATTTTTTTCTTTCTTGCAGTTTGAGAGAGAGAGAGAGAGAGAGTGTGTGTGTGTGTGTGTGTAGAGAAGGTGAGATGAATATGTGCCAAAAACCTTATAATTAAGAGCAAAAAAAAGTTTGTGGGGTGGAATGCGGTTGTTGTTGCTGTTTTTTTTTTTTTTTCCCCAGAAGGAGCACATTTCATGATATTCTCTTATGGGGGAAAATGTACCATTTGATGCATCAGTTGCTATGGTAACTGCTAGGGTTTTTCTGTTGAAGGAGAGACAAAATGGTAATGTGAGATCCCTTTGTAACTTGAGTTTGGCATCCAGGCTGCATAAATGTGGAGTTCCTGTTCCTGGCATCCACGTGCTCCTTTCATTACCTCCTACTTGCTTGATTGCAGACTGACCAGGGTCTTGCTGTTCAGCCTCAAAACCATGAGGAGAGGGGAAAAAACACCACCACTAGAAGTTGAAAATCCAAGCAACTCAATCCAGCTCTGAGTGGAATTGTGGTGCACAGGCTCCAGCTGAGACCTCCTTAAGGGATGCATGTTTGTTGACTGGTCACAGCCACACTGCCTTTGACTTGACCACTCAACCCTATGCTCTTTCAGATTCCTGTTGTGATGGCTACATTGGCTGTCTTCCCTGGCCACAGCTTACTGGTCTCGGCCCAGCCATCTAGCGCTCAATGTTCTCACAGTGCCATAGGGGATCCAGTTAGAGACTTAGGATGGTCAACTGCCAGTCACACCTGTTGCTGGAGCTCAAAGTCTGTGTCGTCTTGAAAGAAAATCAAATGGATGCATTATGATATTTAAAAAGGGAAATCATATTTAATCTATCATATTCAACAGAGAGGCAACCTTTTCTTTCCCTCATTTCTTTCTTGGTAGGCTTTCTTGAATGTAGCTTTAAATCTTTTGCTTCTCTTATGAAATCAGCCTTTTAAATCACTGTATTCCTAGTGATTCTCCAGAGAGTGATGATGTGCTTGTACTAGTGCTTGAGACTTGAATACCAGTAAGGTTATATCTTTATACCAGAATGGGGTCTTCCGAGTCATTAAAGAATCCTGCACTGAAACTTTTTTCCCTACCTGTGAGCAATTTATTTTAAAAGTACTTAAAATATTACAAGTAACTTACCCATTTGAAGCACTCTTGGAATTTTGAATTTACAGTCAGTCTAGTGGGAAATGAGTTTCATGAGCTGATAGAAGTTACCCTCCTTTGCCGAACTATGAAGAGAGACATATTTGTGGGTGGAATGGAGAGATGAAATTTGGGATTTTTTTGTTTTCTGCACACTCATTTAAAAATCAGTCTCCTCCCGTCTCCCCTGTTTATCCCATCCCAATCTGTCCCTGGAATCTTTAACTAGCAGCATGAATTAACAGAGTAGATAAACCCTTTCTGGGACTTTCGGTGATTTTGTTGATTGACAGGAGCCAAGAGTTTCCTGCCTGTCTTCTTTCTTCCTTGGTCCCTCACTTCTCCGAGGGCACCTCCCATTTCCCAGCCTCCCCCCGCCACCGCCCCCGCCTTCAGCCTGCTCCCTCCCACCTTGTTTTGCAAACGCCTTACTTGAAATCTCCAGACCTATTCTCAGAGCTTATTAACAAATCTTTTTAAATTATACAGACTTATGGTTCAGATGCAGGTCTCTTCAAAACAACTCTTTAGTCTTTATTTTAGAGACCTGCTAGATTTCAACCCCTTTCCTCTCACCTAGATTTCTTCTTCCTTACCTCTCTTGATGGTGCAGTAGAGGAACTCCATGCCTTGCTTCTTTGATTCTGGAAAAGAGTCCAGGGAAAATGTATACAACCTTTGACTTTTAGAACCTTCAGATTAGCAGGTGGTCTTCGGGCCCCTTAAGAGCACGTCTGAAAGTGTAGAGCTGAGAATGCAGAATGCATCCTGCCTCTGGCTACTGGCTTGCCAGTACCCCCCAATATTACTGAACAAATCTAAGTTTTATGTTTTTTTTTTTTTTTTCTGGTTAGAGTAATTACAAAGAGTTATTATATCCCTGTTCAGGACTCTTTGATATTTGTATATATTTAAAATGTTATTCCAAAAAGGTTGAAATATATATAAAAGGATTCAGAAAGTTTTCGAAAACCCTCATTCATAATTCCACTTCAACGGCAGCTGTCAGCTCATGCCCACTCTTGTCTCACTGATATCCTCGCTGCTTCCCTTCTCTCCCATATTGTTTTAAAGCAAATTCCAGACAAAATGCCATTTTATCTATGTTGCTTATTTTTGATATATTTGATATCTGCCACTCATGCCACTAATGTATTGCCTATAGCATCATGAGGTTTTGTTGTTGTTTTTGCCTTTTTTTTTTTTTAATCCTTTGGCCCCTGGACTGTTTCTGTAAGAAAGGCTTACTTTTGGCTTATTGTATCATCTTGCTCTATTACTCTGATATCTTAATATTTTTTCAGACCTTGGGAATAAACCTTGTGCTTGAAATAACATTTTTATATTGCAGTGGGGAAGCTGACCCATAAACATTTTCAATTTGTCTTAATTTTATCAACTTACCCCAAAGGGATTTTTGTTTGTTATTGTGAGTTGTCTTTCAAAATTACTGTTCTGTCTTATCATTGTGTGAGAGGGTACTTCAGTCAATATTCTACATTGCTACCTTTTTTAAAAAAAATATGGTTTTCTGAGACAATACTGAAGTTAACTTCAGAGTTCCTAAATGCTTCTATTAATTGTTTTTTTGCCAAGTGAAACTCAGCCAATTATCACTGAGCACCCCTGTGTGTTTTGAATATTTGTCATTCAGTTATGCATTAAATGCAGAACCTCATTTTATTATCCTGTTTGAATTAAGGGTGAGGCACTCAGGCAAATTTTGGTCAACCGTTACTATGGAAACATCAGACCTTCTGGAAGAAGAGAGAGCCTTACCAGTTTTGGCAATGGCCCGCTGTCACCAGGAGGACCCAGCAAGCCCGGGGGAGGAGGTAGGCTTCGTGGTGTCATTAGCTTCATGTGTGAATCAAGTGTGTCCTATGATAGCTGCATGTTTCTGCCTAACAGGTTGAAACGCTAACAACAGATGAATTTGTGTTGCAAGTGTATTTTTTAGCAACTTGTTTTGTCTTGTGGTCTACCATCAAATTGATTTCTAAACATATTTTCCTGCAAACTAGCATTTCCCTGCAACTAAATATTGGCTAAGCCTTTTGCTCCTCCTTTCCATGCAGTAACTATCTTGATGATATTTGAATGATTTGAGGGATTTGATTTTATTGCAGTTTGTCCCATGGTTATTAGGACTCCTGTATTCCCATAAAATGATGAAGATATTGGCACTCAGGATAGTGAAAGCTGCCATTTGTTATGCATCTGCTGAGTGCCAGGGGCTTTCCTAAGTACTTCATGTTCTTTATCTCATTTTCACCTCCCAGTTACTCATTATAGGATAGGTACAGTCTATCCCAGGTCCACGGATGAAATGGAAGCTTGTTAGTGGCTGGTCTGTAATTTCAACCTGGTATATCTAATTCTAATTCTAATGCCCATGTGTATACATCCACAAAGTCCTGTGGAAGTTTACAAAAAAAAAAAAAAATCCATGTACAGAAATGCTTACTTTAAATCAATTTAAGCACAATTACAGGTAAAAGATACAAAAACATGGAACCCAAAGGTAGATCTATCTGTCTTATGTTTTTAGGCAAGCCAGTAGCTCAGTGCTCAAAGCACAAATGTGAGTTCTCTGATTTCCTGTCTTATGGTGATGACTGTGGGGCAGCTTCAGATCCTTGGTGGGTTCCATGCATAGCACAAAGATACTCAGTATTCAGTAAATTTGTCCTAGCAAATGCTAAGAAGGAAGCTTGGCTTTCTCACTGGATGAAAACTGGAAGCATAGTTCATGGTGCTAGGCAGGCTTCAGTGAAGATGCAGTTCTCATGGCATCCCAGAGATGGGAACTGGGACTTTGAAATCCAAAAATCGATGCAGAAATTCCTCGAGTAATCTCTCAAAACCATTCTCTTTACTGTCTGTAGTGAGGTCATTTAACAGTTATGTGAAGCCCTTGGGGAGGCATCATGACAGGGATTTGGTAATGCAGGACAGACTCTGCCCTGAGAAGCTGTGGCAGAGAGGATGTACAACCCAATTTCTACCTTGTGCTATAGACATAAGGAGAAGTCAAGGGCCAGCAACATAAAGGAGGTGACACTGGAATTGAGTTCTTCACGAAAGGACAGATAGACAATTTTCTGCTTTCTGAAGTTGATCAGCCCATTTCTCCGTGTGCGTTCCTGTTTTAGTTATTGCCAGTAGTAATGCAAGGCAAGTCCTTAAATATGTACCTTCCAAACACAGTCAGAATCCATTCTAAATGGCATAGGTCCTGTCTTCTTAGGTATACTCATCTCTGAAGCACGGTGAGAATGGGGACTTTGTTTTGTTCACTCCCCCATCCCCAGCTCTTGGCTCCATGCTAAGCTGTGAGCCAATATTTGCTGAATGAATGCATGAACAGATAAGTCATATAAAAGGATGAGTTGGGGGTTAGAGTGGGCTTGTTAAAAAGAGGGCTAAAGTGATCATCATAGGCGAAGCTTCCTAGAGAGTGTTGTAAGAAGTGTTTGACTTCAGTTTGTTTCTTAATCCAGTTCTTAATTCTGCTGCAAGTCATTGTATTTTAATGTAAGGGAGAGTCTTTGCTGGCTGGCTTTTTAGGTCCGTTGCTGGAAATGTATCATTCTTTTTTTGACTTACCTGTGTGAATTCAAATATCTTCTCTGCTGCTGACAAGCTGGGTGTCCTTGGACGAGCACCTTCATCTCTCCATGTTAATAATCAGTACTTTCCTTATAGGATTAAAAGGATTAAAAGAGATGAACATGGGTAAAGCATTTAGTCCATGAAGTGTTGGTGCATATAAATATGCAGCAAACATTAACTGTTCTGATTGTGTTGAGTAAAAATAATATTCCATCTTCCTAGGGGGAGGTTCTGGATCCAGCTCTGTGAGCAGGGGTGAGATGAGCCTGGCGGAGGTTCAGTGTCACCTTGACAAGGAGGGGGCTTCCAATCTAGTCATCGACCTCATCATGAATGCATCCAGTGACCGAGTGTTCCATGAAAGCATTCTCCTAGCCATCGCCCTTCTGGAAGGAGGCAACACCACCATCCAGGTAGGAAAGCAGCTTGGCTGCTGGTGTGGCATCCCTGCTGAGCAGGAGGAGGGTCTGTTCTGGGAGCCAGATGCCTGGGTGGTACCAAGGCTTGTTTGGGAGACAGCTCATTCTGAGGGCACAAAATTCTGTTTTGAAAAATGAGTTCTACTGGTATCCTACTGTGATCATTTGGTCACAAATCAGATTTGGTTCCAAAACATGGGTTACATTTGAAAATTGATAAAACGCTGAGAATATGCAAAGGAAGTTGGCCTACGATCTAGGATGTAGTGGGCAGACCATAAATGTTTGTTGAATGAGTAAATGATTGCATGAAGTTAATTTACAGTTTTTATCGACGATTGTAGGGGATCTCATCACAAGATGACCAGAAGAGTTTACCTGTGTGTGCTATTTAGAAGGTTTAATTTTTATGTATCTATAGACACTGCAGCTGCTACTTACTAGAAATTTCTCTACCTTTTAATTGAAAGTTTAATAAAGCCAAACCAATTTGAAATAATAGAAGCCAGGCTATATTAGTCAAAAATGAATAGATACCTTTTTGAAAGCTAGATATGATATATATTTAAAACTAATAATAAAAACTCAAGTTCTATTTCTAGTTCACTTTTTATAGATGTCCTTAAAAAACAATTTTCATGATTTTTTTTCTTAATAGTCATCGTAGAATAAATTTTAATAATATGTAAACAACATAACTTTTATGTACAGTTCCTTTAAATATTCTTCATACCTCCTTCATGTACTTTTCCTTCTTTGTTAGCTCTCTGAATAAGATGTTTTTTGGATGTGCATGTGTGTACAGACTTGTGTACACGTACACACACACATATATTTTGATAAAAGCTTTATTGAGATATAATCCACATACCATAAAATTCACCCTGACGTATATATTTGACCTGACATATTCTTGGCCTTGAATTGAAATTCATAGTCTCGGTTAATGAAGTCTTGGTTCTTTGTGCAACTTTGAAAAGGGTGTATCTTCCTGTGAGTCACTGTGCCCCGGGCCAGGGTGCCTGGCTTGGCAGGTGCAGCACAGGTGAGATTTCAGTCCCTGCTTGCTCCTCCAGCCAGCACCCTTGTGCCTTGGCACAACCTGTGCGGCCAACTATAGTGGCCCCTTTCTTTCGCCTTCCAATCCCCACTTGCCCCAATGTACACTTTTGAAGTTCGTTATCATGCGTTGCACCGGGCTGGGATTTGTGGCAGTGAGTTAGGCACCTGGGCCAATGGCAAGGCCCACTGCTTGTCTAAGTTTTCACATGGGCACAAGTCGTACACATTGGGATTGCTTTCTATTTTGTCATGTCAGTGTGGGTGAGTCCTGCAGTCCTTCTCATCACTGGAATGTTGCCCAGCCACTGCTGTGTTCTGGGCTTCTGTGTTGGGATGGAAGCAGAGCTGAAATGTTCCTTGTCTTAGAACCACATGATTTCCTGTGATTAGAGCAGTTGAACTGAATACTCATTGAGCCCTTTCTATGTATGTGTTGCTATGCCAGGGGCGACGGGGCAATGGTTTCCAGACATGAGAGCCAGTTCGTCTATGAGAATTTTCTCCAGGCATAGTCAAGTGTGGAAAATGAGGACAATGTGGTGAATTTGTCATAAACCAATGTATTCAGTTTGAAGGCCTGGCCATTTTATCCTGAGATTCTCTCTCTCCAACCTTTATTTTTAGCCACAGTGCCTTCTTCGGTGAAATGGTGTTGATTATGGATGATAGATTTTTTTTTTCTATTAGCCAAATTAGAAGTTGGAAACTCTAGGTTGTTATTTCTTCCCTTCCCCAAAGTTTAAGGCTTTACTAGTTTGAGAAATCCCAGAATCTCAGTCTTTAAGAAATTGAATCTCTGAGAAGGATACAAGGATACATAGATGTGCACATAAGGAGCTATGTCTCAAGGATGCCCTTTAGTGCCCTCCAAGAAGTAGAAGTGAGGCTAGGGAACTACCAAGGAAGAAGAACCCGCATCTCCCTGAGGAGTCTGCAGAAAGTCTTTCAATGAAATGGGCTTTCAAGGATGGGCATGGGACTGAAAGGTGGAGATTGGGCATGGACCTGGGGCATGAAGAGTCTTTGTCATATTCTGTGGAAGAGAAGGCCCAGAGGTGTGAGAGCAGCAATTGGGTTTCCAAAACAGGGGTTGGGTCTTTCAGACCGAGGAGTGCTGTGTAGAAGAAGTGAAAAGCCTTGGATTGGGGTTGGGGTTTGTATGCAGGAGCAGTGCAGCCCTCCACGGGGCTTCAGAGCTGTAATGGAAGACTGTATACCTGGCAGCATAGGAAAGGCAAACTGGGGAAAGCAGGATCCAGAGGAGGCAGTCTAATAATTAAAAAGTTAATTGGAAGTAAGTTCGGGAAGAGCTGATGAGAACCTGAACTTAAATCTCTGATAAAAGAGGTCATAACTTGGGAGAGGATGTTTTCTCATATTGGCACAAGAGAGCTCTCTGGGTGCTGGAAACACATTCAGCCTCTGTGGGTTGTGGTTATGTGAGTGTGCACATGTTTAAAACTTAGTGATCATGTCCTTTGCTGGGACACGGATGGAGCTGGAGACCATTATCCTTAGCAGAATAACACAGGAACAGAAAACCAAATGCCGCATGTTCTCAGTTATAAGTGGGAGCTAAATGATGAGAACACATGGACACTTAGAGGAGAACAACACCCACTGGGGCCTTTCAGAAGGTGGAGGATGGGAGGAGGGAGAGGATCAGGAAAAATAACTAATGGGCACTAGGCTTAATACTGGAGTGGTGAAATAATCTATATGATAAAACCCCATGACACAGTTTTATCTATTTAACAAACTTGCAGTTATATCCCTGATTTAAAAAGTTTAAAAAAGAAAAAAAAAAACAACTCAGTGAGCCATATGCTTAAAATTGGTGTGCTTTACTGTACCCATGTTATATGTCAATCAACAAATAAAAGAAATGATGGTGGGGAATGAGAATCTGAACCTTGCTGGGACTAAAGGCGTGGGGTTGAGGGACAGGAGATCATGAACAGGACCCTGTCACTCCCTGCACCAGGTCTACGCCTGGGCCCACTGATGCTTGGTAAACATTGGCTGAAATGGCACATGAATAGATGTGGGAGAGAAGTCAGAGAGGTCCCAGTCGGCTCTGGACTTGGCCTCGGGATGACCAGGTGCACGAAGTCACCATTAATTAAGAACTAACGATGAAGTGCAGTGGGTGACGGAGTCTGGGGGCTGCCATTGCCAAGGCTCCCGAGGAGATGATGTCTGTGGCTCTGCTGAGATGCCGTGTTTTTCATGGAGCACTCCTGATGGTGACGGCCAGGCACACAGAAGCTATTTTTCCTTTGAGTTCTTTATCTTGTAAAGTAATTATGAATATTAGTTTCATGTTTTCACACATTTATTACTCATACACCCAGGCTCCAGATGAAATGCCACGATGGAGTTACAGGGGTTCAGCCACGTGCGGAGCGGGGCTGTTTTCTCTTAGGAGTACTCGGGGGTGGTGTGGGGGCCTATGGGCCCATGGCAGAATGGAAGGCTGTTGCCCTAAGGGGCTGCACACACATGCTCTCTTCTCCTCCCTGCTTCTGTGACCCCTGGGGGGCCCAGTCAAACCCCGTGTCTCATGGGAGGCCGATGCTTCCAGGAAAATGTCTTCTAGCCGCTTGGCCCCAAGCTTCTCTTTCTCTGGAGAAAATGATGTGGAACTAAGGTTGTGTCTGGGGCCAGTTAAGGACAGGAATGCTGAAGCCCCAGGGGAAGTGATTCAGAGTTTCGTCTTGCAGTTGAGAAGCTGGTTCAGAGTAGTAAGTGGCCAGCTGGGAAGTGAGCCTGACTTGGGCTGAGACTGCAGGGCAGCAATGAATGATTGCTAAGATGCTGTGCTCCACTGACGACACCGGGGGTCCTGGCCAGAGCTGGTAGAGCATGGTCACTTCCTGTTCATTGTACTGTGGAGGGTCCCAGGAAGGGAAATGGGTCTGTGGTCAGGTAGTCCTCTTGAGATCCATGTTTCCTGATGACAAGTGGTAGAAAGGGGAATTGCAGGGAAGCAGGCAGGCCTACATGGTTCCAAAAACGTATACAGTCGGCCCTCTGTGTTTGTCAGTTCTGCATCTGTGGATTCAGCCAACTGAGGATTTAAGATATTTAAGGGAGGCCAGGCGCAGTGGCTCACACCTGTAATCCCAGCGCTTGGGGAGGCTGAGGTGGGTGGATCACTTGAGGCCAGGAGTTCAAGACCAGCCTGGCCAACATGGCAAACCCCAGTTCTATTAAAAATAAAAAAATTAGCTGGGTGTGATCACAGCTACTCAGGAGGCTGAGGCATCAGAATTGCTTGAACCCAGAAGGGAGAGGTTACAGTGCCCTAAGATTGTGCCACTGCACTCCAGCCTGGGTGACAGTGCAAGATTCTGTCTCAAAAGATAATGAAATAAAATGTTTAGAGGAAAAAGCAATAAAAATAATAATATAACAGTAAAAAGATAATACATATATCTTTTTAATGCAGCATTAACAACTCTTTACTATCCCTGGGCTTCCGTTCCCATGTCTGTCAAGTACAAGGCGTAAATGGACTCCCAGATTCCCTGCAGCTTTGAAGCAGGTCATTTCAGTGATCATTAGATATTTTCCCCCAGGAAGTCTTAGAACCCAGTGGTGATGGTCAGCTGGTTCCATTCCTGAAATCTTCTCTGGCTTCTGGAAGTAATTATTAAAAATAACTGTGATTAGACAAACCATAGTACGTTTACACTGTGTTAGACATTCTAAGTAATCTAGAGGTAATTTAAAGTATACACGAGGATGTGCCTAGGTTATAGGTAAATACTACACCGTTTTATATAAAGGACTTGAGCATCCTTCGATTTTGGTGTCAGCAGAGGTCTTGGAACCAGGCTTTCACAGATACGGGGGGACAACTGTATTGTCTGTCTGAAGACAGACCTGCAAAAGAGCCTTTATGTTTAGTAGCACCTCCCCTTGGGATT